CACCACGTTACGTGGTAATTGGTTTCACAAATCAACAACCCTGTTACCGCAACCCGTCCTCTTAAAAATAACGTCACTTTTGGCTCGTATGCGTGATATGGCCAAATTTGGACGTAATTTGAAATGAAATCGACTCACAAAAGTGACGTTCTGTTCCGTTTTCTATTTGAGTCGTCCGGCTTACGCGTAGAGGTTATGAGAGGACACTTTAAATTAACGTTTTTTCATACCGTTTTGAAACTTTATGAGATTTTCCTGCCCACCTAACCTATCAGAGGACACTTAACTTACTGTTGTTGAAAAAAAAAATCCCAAATTTATTTTCATTTTTTTTTCATTTTCAAAGGATTGACAAATGCAGTTTAATGCTGATAAATGTAAAGTTCTGAGGCTAGGTAATGATGATAGAGTTACAAGACACGAGCTAGATGGTGTTGAGACTGCGAAGTCGGATTGCGAAAGGGATCTGGGAGTTATGATTAGTAAGAATTTAAAACAAAAGGATCAATGCATGAATGTTCGTAATAAGGCGAATAGGACACTGGGATTTATTAATCGAAGCGTTAGTAACAAGACACCTGGTGTGGTTCTTAAGCTATATCTTGCTCTGGTTAGGCCCCATTTAGATTATGCAGTTCAGTTTTGGTCGCCGTATTATAGAATGGATATAAATTCACTTGAACGTGTCCAACGTAGGATGACTAAGTTATTTCCCCAAATTAGAAATCTTTCATATGAAGAAAGATTAACAAAGCTTAAGTTGCATTCACTGGAAAAGCGAAGAGTTAGGGGTGACATGATAGAGGTTTACAAGTGGATGAATGGACATAACAAAGGGGATATTAATAGGGTATTAAAAGTATCAACACAAGACAGAACACGAAACAATGGGTATAAATTGGATAAGTTTAGATTTAGAAAAGACTTGGGTAAATACTGGTTCGGTAACAGGGTTGTTGATTTATGGAACCAATTGCCACGTAACGTGGTGGATGTGGGGTCCCTCGATTGTTTCAAGCGCGAGTTGGACAAGTATATGAGTGGGATTGGGTGGTTATAGATAGGAGCTGCCTCGTATGGGCCAATAGGCCTTCTGCAGTTACCTTTGTTATGTTCAGATTACGTCCAAATTCGGCCATACGGGTAAACGGCCAAAAGCGACGTTCTTTTTAAGAGGACAGGTTGGTTACCGAACCAGTATTTACCCAAATCTTTCTTAAATCTAAATTTATTCAATTTATACCCATTGTTTCGTGTTCTGTCTTGTGTTGATACTTTTAATACCCTATTAATTAATACCCACCTTTGTTATGTCCATTCACCCACTTGTAAACCTCTATCATGTCACCCCTAACTCTGCGCCTTTCCAGTGAATGCAACTTAAGCTTTGTTAATCTTTCTTCATATGAAAGATTTCTAATTTGGGGAATTAACTTAGTCATCCTACGCTGGACACGTTCAAGTGAATTTGTATGGCGATCAAAACTGAACTGCATAATCGAAATGGGGCCTAACTAGAGCAAGATATAGCTGAAGAACCACACCAGGTGTCTTGTTACTAACGCTTCGATTAATAAATCCCAGTGTCCTGTTTAAGAACATAAGAACATAAGAACGAAGGCAACAGCAGAAGGCCTATTGGCCCATACGAGGCAGCTCCTATTTATAACCACCCAATCCCACTCATATACTTGTCCAACCCGCGCTTGAAACAATCGAGGGACCCCACCTCCAGCACGTTACGCGGTAATTGGTTCCACAAATCAACAACCCTGTTACTGAACCAGTATTTACCCAAGTCTTTCCTAAATCTATTAATATCCCCTTTGTTATGTCCATTCATCCACTTGTAAACCTCTATCATGTCACCCCTAACTCTGCGCCTTTCCAGTGAATGCAACTTAAGCTTTGTTAATCTTTCTTCATATGAAAGATTTCTAATTTGGGGAATTAACTTAGTCATCCTACGCTGGACACGTTCAAGTGAATTTATATCATTCTATAATATGGCGACCAAAACTTAACTGCATAATCTAAATGGGGCCTAACCAGAGCAAGATATAGCTTGAGAATCACACCAGGTGTCTTGTTACTAACGCTGCGATTAATAAATCCAAGTGTCCGATTTGCCTTATTACGAACATTTATGCATTGATCCTTTTGTTTTAAATTCTTACTAATCATAACTCTCAGATCCCTTTCGCAATCCGACTTCGCAATCTCAACATCATCTAGCTCGTATCTTGTAACTCTATCATCATTACCTAACCTCAGAACTTTACATTTATCAGCATTAAACTGCATTTATCAGCATTAATTTGCCTTATTACGAACATTCATGCATTGATCCTTTTGTTTTAAGAACATAAGAACAAAGTTAACTGCAGAAGGCCTATTGGCCCATACGAGGCAGCTCCTATATATAACCACCCAATCCCACTCATATACTTGTCCAACCCACGCTTGAAACAATCGAGGGACCCCACCTCCACCACGTTACGCGGTAATTGATTCCACAAATCTACAACCCTGTTACCGAACCAGTATTTACCCAAGTCCTTCATAAATCTAAACTTATCCAATTTATACCCATTGTTTCGTGTTCTGTCTTGTGTTGATACTTTTAATACCCCTATTAATATCTCCTTTGTTATGTCCATTCATCCACTTGTAAACCTCTATCATAATGTTTTAAATTCTTACTAATCATAACTCCCAGATCCCTTTCGCAATCTCAACACCATCTAGCTCGTATCTTGTAACTCTATCATCATTACCTAGCCTCAGAACTTTACATTTATCAGCATTAAACTGCATCTGCCAATCCTTTGACCATTTCAAAACCCTATTTAGATCAACTTGAAGTGATAGTGAGTCTTCTTCCGTATTAATTTCCCTACCGATTTTTGTATCATAAGAACATAAAAACAAAGGCAACTGCAGAAGGCCTATTGGCCCATACGAGGCAGCTTCTATCTATAACCACCCAACCCCACTCATATACACGTCCAACCCGCGCATGAAACAATCGAGGGACCCCACCTCCACCACGTTACACCTCATTTGGTCTGTATATAGTCTGGGATATCATGTCTGGGTTGTATCAGATTGAGAACACCAGGGAGAGAGAAGAGTCCCACTGGCATGGCCGTAGTAAGGTATTTATATATTTTATATAATGTGCATATCGAAGTAAATCATATATCAGAATTCCTCATTATGCAAATGTTCGTATTTTTCTTAAAGGAGGAGAAAATAATATTAGACGAGTGGTACTAATATGAACGTTTCAAAGTGCCATTAACTTTCGCCATTAGTCTTAGGTAAATAGAATTAGAATTATTTTTTCTATTAATATTAATTTTTTCATTAGAATTCATTTTAGGAAGACTAATGTGCGAATCTTCTTCTTGGTCTTTAACACTCTTCTTGGACTTCAGGTTCCGCTGAAGGAACCTGAAGGTTCCACACCTGAAGGAACCTGAAGGTTCCTTCATTGGTTCCACAAATCAACAACCCTGTTACCGAACCAGTATTTACCCAAGTCTTTCCTAAATCTAAACTTATCCAATTTATACCCATTGTTTCGTGTTCTGTCTTGTGTTGATACTTACATAACTCCCAGATCCCCTTCGCAATCTCAACACCATTCAGCTCGTATCTTGTAACTCTATCATTACCTAGCCTCAAAACTCTACATTTATCAGCATTTAACTGCATCTGCCAATCTTTCGATCATTTCAAAACCCTATTTAGATCAACTTGGAGTGATAGCGAGTCTTCTTCCGTGTGAATTTCCCTACCAATTTTGATATCAGCGGTAAATTTGCAAATGTTTCTACTCAAACCTGAATCTAAATCATTTATATATATTTTATAAACAACAGACGTCTCAGGACAGAGCCACGAGGCACTCCACTTACAACTTTTTCCCATTCTGACTTAACCCCATTTATACTACTTTGTTTCCTTTGGTATAGCCTTGCCCTAATCCAAATTAATATAGCACCCACAATACCACGAGTCTCTTTCTTTTTAACGAGTCTTTCATGTGGTACTGTATGAAAAGCTTTGCTAGTGGTACCACGAGTCTTTCATGTGGTACTGTATGAAAAGCTTTGCTAGTGGTACCACGAGTCTTTCATGTGGTACTGTATGAAAAGCTTTGCTAGTGGTACCACGAGTCTTTCATGTGGTACTGTATGAAAAGCTTTGCTAGTGGTACCACGAGTCTTTCATGTGGTACTGTATGAAAAGCTTTGCTAGTGGTACCACGAGTCTTTCATGTGGTACTGTATGAAAAGCTTTGCTAGTCAAGTACGTGGTACACAACATAACAATCCTTACCACCATCAACTGCCTCAACTATGCTGGAATAGAAAGATAGCAAATTTGTTAAACATGAACGGCCATTTATAAAACCATGTTGCGACTCACTTATTAATTTCATTTTTTCAAGCTGAAGACGAATTGTATTTGCAATTGTCGATTGAAGTAGGCTATTTTAAAACTTTTATTTTGACGCAAGTGATCTATCTCCTATCTTAAAAATTGGTACCACATTAGCAACCTTCCGTGACTCTGGCACTCTACTTGACTATTGATTATTAAATATGGTAGACAGTGGCTCGCAAAGCTCCTCTTTGCATTCTTTAAGCACCCTGGCAAACACTTCATCTGGCCCTGGGGATTTGTTTGGTTTGAGTTTTACTATTTGTTTGATTACTTCCTCCCTGTAACTGCTAAACCTCCATACACCTCATTTGGTCTGTATATAGTCTGGGATATCATGTCTGGGTTGTATCAGATTGAGAACACCAGGGAGAGAGAGGAGTCCCACTGACATGGCCGTAGTAAGGTATTTATATATTTTATATAATGTGCATATCGAAGTAAATCATATATCGGAATTCGTCATTATGCAAATGTTCGCATTTTTCTTAATGCAGGAGAAAATAATATTGGACGAGTGGTATTAATATAAACGTTTCAAAGTGCCATTAACTTTGTCTTAGGAAGACTAATGTGCGCATCTTCTTCTTGATCTGATAATTTAAGACGATAATTTACGCGGTAATTGGTTCCACAAATCAACAACCCTGTTACCGAACCAGTATTTACCCAAGTCTTTCCTAAATCTAAACTTATCCAATTTATACCCATTGTTTCGTGTTCTGTCTTGTGTTGATACTTTTAATATCCTATTAATATCCCCTTTGTTATGTCCATTCATCCACTTGTAAACCTCTATCATGTCACACCTAACTCTTTGCCATTCCAGTGAATACAATTTAAGCTAATGTTAATCTTTCTTCATATGAAAGATTTCTAATTTGGGGAATTAACTTATGTAGACTTGCACGTAGAATTAGTCATCCTACGCTGGACACGTTCAAGTCAATTTATATCCATTCTATAATATGGCGACCAAAACTGAACTGCATAATCTAAATGGGGCCTAACTAGAGCAAGATATAGCTTGAGAACCACACCAGGTGTCTTGTTACTGACGCTTCGATTAATAAATCCCAGTGTCCTGTTTGCCTTATTATGAACATTCATGCATTGATCCTTTTGTTTTAAATTCTTATCATAACTCCCAGATCCCTTTCGCAATCTCAACACCATCTAGCTCGTATCTTGTAACTATCATCATTACCTAGCTTCAAAACTTTACATTTATCAGCATTAAACTGCATCTGCCAATCCTTTGACCATTTCAAAAGCCTATTTAGATCAACTTGAAGTGATAGTGAGTCTTCTTCCGTGTTAATTTCCCTGTCGATCGGCAATGATATCATTACATATCATGTAATGTTCGGTATTGATGATACCGATCGGCGATCGGTATCATCGGCAATGATATCATTACAATGATCAGGGGTCGTGATTTGGCGCACCTGTTTTTAGTTACAATGGTGAGGGGTCGTGACTTGGCGCACCTGTTTTTAGTTACAATGGTGAGGGGTCGTGACTTGGCGCACCTGTTTTTAGTTACCTCGGCTAGTGATTGCCTGACCTCCCAGCACCACTTGCAGCCAAGTCTTAGTCTTTGTATTGCTACTGCAATATCTCTGGATAGCTTTTGCCAGGTTTGCAGGAGGAGTACCCCGTGTTTAGTTCGTATCACATTGCAGTGGGTCTGACTTCCGCTACTTTGGCTCTGTACTCACCTAATTGTGCTTGCGGGGGTTGAGCTTTGGCTCTTTGGTCCCGCCTCTCAACTGTCAATCAACTGGTGTACAGATTCCTGAGCCTACTGGGCTCTATCATATCTACATTTGAAACTGTGTATGGAGTCAGCCTCCACCACATCACTTCCTAGTGCATTCCATTTATTAACTCCTCTGACACTGAAAAAATTCTTTCTAACGTCTCTGTGACTCATCTGGGTACTAAATTTCCACCTGTGGCCCCTTGTTCGTGTCCCACCCGTGCTGAAGAGTTTGTTTTTGTCCACCTGTCAATTCCCCTGAGAATTTTGTAGGTGGTTATCATGTCTCCCCTTACTTTCCTGTTTTCCAGGGATGTGAGGTTCAGCTCCTCTAGCCTTTCTTCGTAGCCCATTCCTCTCAGTTCCGGGACGAGCCTGGTGGCATACCGCTGAATCTTCTCTAACTTTGTCTTGTGTTTAACTAGGTATGGACTCCAGGCTGGAGCTGCATACTCCAGGATTTGTCTTACATAAGTGGTATACAGGGTCCTGAACGATTCCTTACACTAGTTTCTAAAGGCAGTTCTTATGTTGGCCAGTCTAACATATGCCGCTGATGATATTCTTTTGATGTGGGCCTCTGTGTGGTATCAAACCCCAGATCTTTCTCTCTATTTGACTCTT